ATTCCCCCCTTTTTTAATTTTTCAATCACAGTTGACATTCAATATTATTTTATATTGTGCTCGCTTCAGCAGCACATATACTAAAATATTATTTTATATTAATTTCAGGTGTACAGCATAGTGGTTAGACATTTATATAATATACAAAATGATCCTCCTGATTAGTACCCACCTGGCACTATACAGTTACTACCATATTATTGATTATATTATCTATACTTTACTTTAAATCCCCATGACTATTTTATAACTACCAATTTGTATTTCTTAATTCCTTCACCTTTTCCACCTTGCCCCTCAAACCCCCTCCCATCTGTCACCCCGATAGATCTAGTACCCATCTGACACCATACATAGTTATTACAGTATTATCGACTACATTCCTTATGTTATACCCTACATCCCCATGACTACTGTGTAACAACCAATTTGTACTTCTTAATCCCTTTCCTTTTTCACCCACCCCAACCCCCCTCCCATCTGGCAGCCATCAAAATGTTCTCTGTATCTATGAGTTTGTTTCTATTTCATTTGTTTGTTTTGCTCTTTAGATCCCACTTATAAGTGAAATCATATGACGTTTGTCTTTCACCGTCCAACTTATTCCACTCAGCAGAATACCCTCTAGGTCCATCCATGTTGTCACGGATGGCAAGATTTCATTATTTTTTATGGCTGAGTAATGTTCCATTGTATATATATATACCACCTCTTCTTTATTCATTCATCCATTCAGGGACCCCCAGGTTGCCTTCATATCTTGGCTATTGTAAATAATGTTTCAGTGAACATATGAATGAGCATGTCTCACTGAAGTCGCATTTGGGGTTTCTTCAAATAAATACCCAGAATTGGGATTACTAGGTCCTTCTTTATCTCTTGTTATAGTCTTTGTTTTAAAGTATATTTTGTCTGGTATAAGTATTGTTACCTCAGCTTTGTTTGTTTGTTTGTTTCCATTTTTATAAAATATCTTTCCATCCCTTTGCTTTCAGTCTGTGTGTGTCTCTCGATCTGAAGTGAGTCTCTTATAGGCAGCATAAGTAAGAGTCTTGTTGTCTTATTCATTCAGCCCCCTTTTCTTTTGATTGGAACATTTAATCCATTTATGCTTTAATTTTTTATAGTTATGTAGGTATGTAGTTATTACCATTTTATTATTCTTTTTGTGTGTGTGTCTTAAAGAAGTCCCTCTAAGATTCCTTATAATACGGGTTTCGTGGTGGTGAACTCCTTTAGCTTTTTCTTGTCTGGGAAGCTCTATCTGTCCTTTTATTCTAAACTATAGCTTTACTGGGTAAAGTAATCTTGGTTGTAGGTCCTTACGTTTCATTATTTTGAATATTTCTTGCCAATCTTTTCTGGCCTGCAAAGTTTCTGTTGAGAAGTCAGCTGACAGTCTTATGGGAGCTCCCTTGTAGGTAACTGCTTTTCTCTTGATGCTTTTAAGATTCTCTCTTTGTCTTTAACCTTTGGCATTTTAATTATGATGTGTCTTGGTGTGGGCCTTTTTGGGTTCATCTTGTTTGGGACTCTGCACTTCCTGGGCTTATATAATCTATTTCCCTCACCAGGTTAGGGAAGTTTTCTATTGTTGTTTCTTCAAATAGGTTTTCAATTCCTAGCTCTCTCTCTTCTCCTTCTGGTACTGCTATAATGCAAATGTTGGAACACTTGACGTTGTCTCAGAAGCCCCTTAAACTTTCCTAATTTTTTTGGATTCTTATTTCTTTTTGCTTTTCTGATTGGGTGTTTTCTGCTACCTAATCTTCTAAATTGCTGACTTGATCCTCTGCTTCATCTAATCTACTGTTGATTCCCTGTAATGTATTCTTCATTTCAGTGATTGTATTTTTTTTTCTGAGTGGTCCTTTTTTATGTTTTTTATCTTCATTTTTTTTTTAAGATTTTATTGGGGAATTGGGGGAGGGGAACAGTGTTGGGGAATCAGGGAAGGGAAACAGACAAGTTGCTGTCCTTTTGCTCTTCAGTCTAGTTGTGGAGGACGTTGCTTCACTGGCCCATGTTGGTATTATCATTGCGCTCTTCCCGGGTGAGTCAGATCGGTCGCCGGCCACTGGACAGCCACTCATGGCAGCTCTTGATAGCTCACACTGGCTGCTGGCCACTCACCGTAGCTTATGGCAGCCCACTGCAGCAGGGGCTGCAACCTATGCCGTCGCTGGCGATTCACGGCATCCCAGCTCCAGGTCGAGCTGTTGTTCACCATCTTACCTGTAGAGGGCGCAGCGTCACTGGCCCTCATGTGGGATCCGAACTGGGACTCTGCTGCTCAGAACTGGCATCCCAAACCAACTCCTAGCCAATGCGCCACTCGGCTGGCCCTTTATCTCCATTTTTATGTCTCCTATCTCTTTGTTGAAGTTTTCTCTGAGATCATTGAGCATTCTTGAGATCACTGAGCATTCTTATAGCCAGTGTTTGGAATTCTGCATCTGGTAGATATTTGTCTCCATTTTGTTTAGTTCTTTTTCTGGAGCTTTGTTCTGTTCTTTTATTTTGGACATGTTTCTTTGTATCCCCATTTTGGTCGCCTCAGTGTGTTTGTTTCTATATATTAGGTAGGGCTGCTGTGTTTTAGTAGAGTGGCCTTATGTAGTAGGTGTGCTGTGGGGTTCAGTGGTGCAGTCTTCTTGGTTACCTGAGCCATGCACTCTAGTGTGTCCTTTGTGTGGGTTGTGTGTGCCCTTCTCTTGTAGTTGAGCCTTGGCTGCTATTTGCACATCAATGGGAGGGATTGACCCTCGGGCTCACTGGTTGTGAGGACTGTCCAGGACTGTCCATTACTACAGTAGAGGAGTTGTAGTAGATGGGTTGACCCTACAGAGCATGATCTGCCTCAGCAGGGCTTTGGTGCCTACCTAGCCTGCCCCTTGGGTGTGTCGTTTTTGGAAGCAGCTGGGTGTTGCCCCAGCTCATTTAAAAGCTGGCCACTCGGCACACCAGCCCCAGGGCCACTTGGGAAGGAACCCACTTTAGGTCGAGTTCAGCTGCAGCCCATACCCCACCCGGGGCCACCCAGCAGGAGCCACAAAGCACTGTGCAGTTGGCCACCACCTGTGCTGTACTTCAAAGTGCCTTGAGAGGCCAATCTGAGAACCGGGGCTGATTGCCGCTAATGCTGGGCTTAGGGCTGCTCAGCCAGAGGTACGGGACATACTGAAGCCAGATGCTGCTAGTTTGGGTTTTGTGAACCTTTGAAAGACCCTAGGAAAGTCTACATCATGAGCCAAGGCAGGCAGTTTGTATGAAAAAACCACTGGAAGCAGCTTTGGTGTGCCTGAAAGTTGAATGGGGCGGGGTCTCAAATCACCAGGGCATGGCAAACCAGTGCTGTCAGCCAGCTTGAAGGAGACTCAGATATGGTGTCTGCCTGCATCTGCACACCGGGAAGGGGGAGGGCTCAACAAAGAAACAATGGCTTCCGCCAGCTCCTCTGTCCAGAGTAGGCAACCCCTCCAACCCTGGTACTGAAGTCAGACAACTCAGTTTCCATCCCACCCCACCCGTCCCCTCCCCACCATATGCTCCTGTCGCTTTCCTAGCTGCTGTCCCAGTGCTGGAACTTAGAGCCAGTGATTCCATCAGTAAGTAAGTCCATGCATGATCTTTTTAAGAGGAGTGCCTGGGAGTGCAGCTGCCCTCTGTCCCACTCAGCCACAATCTCTGCTGGTTTTCATAACCAAAATTATGGGGACTTCTCTCCCTGGCACAGGAACCCTGGGCTGGGGAGCCTGGTGTGGCACTGGGACCCCTTGCTCCTTCGTGGGGGACCTCAGCAGCCAATTTTTAATGGTCACACATGGGTGTGGGACCAGCCTGTTCCATGTCTCTACCCTGCCTACCAGTCTCAATGTGGCTTTTTCTGTATGTCTTTAGTTGTAGAGCTCTGGTTCAGCAAGAATTCAGGTGATTCTCAATGATGGTTGTTTTGTAGTTTCGTTATAATTTTGATGTGGTTGTGAGAGAAGGTAAGCACAGCGTGTACCTACTCCACCATCTCGACCAGAACTCTCAGTGGTTCTTGATTGACAAAAAGCATTAAACATGCAAATAGGTAGTATATTGATATCTTGGCCTGCCTAGCTGCTAATTTCTGAACAATCTGTTTGCCCATTTTAAGTCATTTGTTCTCTATTTCAAAAAGAGATTGAAACTATTAAAGACTTACGATCTAGCTTCCATAATAATGGTGAAAGATTTAGAACAGGTGAGAAAAAAGAAAACATCACAGCTTTATGTTAAGAATGCAGATCTCAGAGTGGACCATTCACAAAGAAGACTGGACACTAAAGGCAGAAAACCTAAAGCATTTGGGGAAACAGAAGGATTGTGGGCAGTTTTAAGGGTCCATTTGAAACTCAAGATCACGAATTTATGGTCATTAAAAGTATGTTGAAGGTATATATGTATGGATGTTTATGATATGTTTGTAAGTGAAAAAGCAAGTTTTAAAACTGCTGTATACAGTATTTCTTATATTTAAATCTCAGATAATTTCTCGTATTTTTTCCTCGAGTGCATGATGCAGTTACATGCAAGAAAGACTCAATAAATGTTTGTTATGTTAACTAGAGGCTGATAAAAGCTTTAGGACAGTAAGGATTGTGATGACAATGCTTAGTTCTAATAGGTACACTTTTCCTCCTCTCAGTGTTTTGGACCACCTTTCTTTTACATAATAAGAAGAAACACAGTTTGGGTGCATACCCATCTGTCTCTGTCATTTTTCATGTCAATACAGCATGAATAAAATATTTCACACTGTCTTCTAGAAGTATCGTATCATGCTTTTAGAACATATGCAAGACAAGTGCTTAGCTTGAAAGTATTTTTACATTCCAAAATGGTATTTATGATTATAGCTGAATGAAATTGTTTATTATTTTGGAAGCGAACATAAAAGTAACACATTGAGAAATCAATTTTAACACTTTAAAGTTAACCTTTTCTTCCCCCCCCCCCACCCTTGTTTATAGGGCTTATTCCACTGGAAGCAAGATGGCTGAACTCAATACTCATGTGAATGTCAAAGAGAAGGTAAGATAAAGTTGTATGTAGGCTTGGAGAAGCTCTAGACTGAATAATGTAGTTGCTAGCTGGTAAAACCTCAATTACAATGGAAGAAGGGAAAAATGGTTTGGGGGATATATAGTAAGTTTGACACACTAGAGAATCATTTAACAGAATCATAAGTAGCCTTTACTGAATGTGTTAGACATATTACATCCATTTTCTCATTTAAACTCGGTCACAACCTTAAAAAGTTCATACTATTATTATTTTCATTTCGTAGCGAAGGGAATTGAAAGAGAAGTTAAGTAATTTGCCTAAATTCACATAGCTCGTAAGCGACACAGCTGGGAATTAAACCCAGCAGTGCCATTCTACAGTTCATACTCTTAACCATCATACTAGTTGTGTCTAAGAGCTATGGTATTATGTTATGTTTCTAGAAATGGCCTCATATAAAGATATCCAAAACTTTACCTAGTGGTTGTGCTGCGTAGCCTTTAAAGTTTCTTTGAGCACTGAGAGTTCACGACTCAGAAAATCCCACCTTCTCATCCTTGATTGGAAGCCGATGACACTTCACAGTCCTTCCGAGTCCTGTCTCCTCTGTGAAGCTTCCTCCACTTAAGAGTCACAGTCCCTCACTTGTCACATATGCTACCTCGCAGGGTTAGCTCTAAATGATCATAACCATATGAGACTATGGAGATAAATTTGTCCAGTATATTCACCGGGCACCAGGGAGCTGAGGTCCTAGAAGGGGTTTGTCCCTGTTCGTACAGCAGAGTGGGAGAGCCTGGGCTAGAACTCTCTCCACCTTCCGCAAGGCCTCCTCCACTAGTCTATAAACTACTCAGGGACGGAAGTCTGCCTTTCATCCCTCTGTATCCCCACAGTACCTAAAACACAGAGTGAAGGCTGAGAGAAGTAACATTTGTGGAGTCCTTACTATTTTTTCTTTTATTCAGCAAAGATATATGAGATCCTTTCTTTGTGCCAAACACAGCACCTTTCTAGGTGCTGGAATATGGCACTGAACATGTAGATGAGGTCCCTGCTTCCATGGAGCTCGCTTTCAGGGAGGGAAACGGAGAATAAACAGAAGAACATATAGATGAATACCGTCGTTTCAGACAGCGATAACTATCAAGAGGAAAGTAGGGCGGCCACGTCAGATGAGATCAGACAGCATGGCAGGAGCCCATGTCGGTAGCATCTTCTTGGCTCCTCACCTGTGTTTCTGAACCGACAGTGGATCTGTGGGTAGAATTTAGGGTCCATGAACTTGGATGGGAAAAAAATACATTTGTTTTCGCTAACATCTAAATGAAGTTTAGCATTTCCTTCAATCATGAATGTAGGCAAAGGGAAAAAAACCCTACAGTAGTAGCAAGAGTGCCTGTGACTTTCACAGCTAGAAATCACAAATATCTTCGTACCAATTTGCATTTGTAGCAGATATCCTGAATATTGTTTGTTCATCACTGCTTCACAATTACTGTAGTTATAGAACCTGTGCTATGTTGTATTCTTTGATGTTGATAGAGAAGCACATATGTTACTGTTGCATAAATTTATTTCATTCATATTTTAAATTTATTTTAATAGGAGTGGTTTCCTTTGTAATCATATGGATTTTATTTCACAAATTTTCAGACGTTATTCTTAGAAGGACCCCATAGGCTTCATCAGTCTGTCAAAGGGGGTCCATGCCCCAAAAGGTTTAGAACCTAAGACAGAGCCATGAAGGGCTTTATTCAAAGAGCAGAAGTAGCTGTTGAAAGGTTTGAAGCAGAAGCCTGACTTGGAGTGATATTTTCTTAAAAGCTCGCCCTGCCTCTGTCAACTACTATGGTACATGTTTTTGTAAATCTTCATATTAAGTAACTTTCCTGTTTGGTGAGGACACAGAGGCTTGAGGTGAAAGTCAAAGTCAGAAAAAACTTGTTACCCCAAATCTGCGGACATTGTCAAAACCAACTTCCACCAACATACAATTTCTTTGGAGTCTTATGTGTTCCCTTAAAAATTGGTACTCATTTTTTATCCATTCTATTTCATAAAATATTCCATATACTATTTTAATACAAAACTGTTTATAGTTACTGACCATTAAGCAAACAGTAGCAGAAATATGTGCCCCTTTTATATCATGGCTTCATATTCTCCCTGACTCATAGTAATATACTCAGATGAGATTTGATTTTCCCAAGTTGGAGAAACTGAGTCAGGCACCACAGTGCTGACCAAAGACTGGCGCCTTTCCAAATGCCTGTTGATGGATGAATGAATTGAACAGCTCCTAAAGTTGGGCTATGAGAAGGAAAAGCACTTTAAACAGAGTCATAGCAATTGATTCCCTGCAAATTATAACTGGTAGACAGACCAATAGGATAGGCTCAGCAGTCAAAGACAGAGTGTCTTATTCAAACAGAGGTGGCATCACGCCAGGAAGGGGAAGAAGGCTGATGTGTCATACACAGGCCACAGAGGTTCAGTGTGAACGCTCCATGCATTGGCTTAGGCACCACATTATCCACCTGCCATAATCAATGTCACATATGCATATGAAGATTAACAGTATATGGTGGTTTTGCTACTGCACTTCAGTAACTTATCCAAATGTTGGCATTATTTTGAAAGAGGGTGATATTTAAGTTGTAAATATTATCAATCCACATGACAATGAAAGTAGAGCTCCTCTAACTCCATTAGTAAATTCCATCTTCCTATGTCAAAAGGTTAATAGATTTCTCAACTCAATAAAATAAATCATAATAAACAACTGAAAATTCTGATCATTTATAATTTTACATTGATTTATTTTAGTACATTTATTTCCTTTAGTTATTAGCTTTTATGGCCTTTATATGATTAGTTTGTTTCTCAATCTGTCACACAGAGCAATGACATTTTAGTTCTGAAAATTAAGAATAATAACAACTGCTATGTTGTAAATTATAAGCTTTTAGAGATCTGAGAATAGATCTATGTAGTGTTCTTATACAATATCTAGTCAAGTACCGTGGGAAATTAAATACTCAATAAAAGCCTTGAGACGAATGAGCTCATCATTCATCTCTGGTGAGTCTACTATTGGATGAATCGAAAAGAAGTAGGTGCTTTGGTGAGTATGTCATTTCTGTCCTCAGGCAGCTTTTAATGAATGCAAAGGAGGAACTAATAACTTAAGGTTTAATATCCAAGACAACTGAAATTTATAATCAACACTCTTTGTGACTTTATTTTAAAATACCTTTATATTATTGGATTATAGCTATAAGGGTTTAAATGGCAATATTGTTGGAATCAAAGTTCAGTCTCCTTAGTGTAACATGTGTGATCAATCTCCTGTGTGATCTGACCCCCATCTACCTTTACCTTTATTTATTGCCACTTCTCCACACACACCCTGCTGCACAGCAGCCATCCTGACCTTGACTGTTTCTGCCTCCAGGACTTTGCAGTTTCCTGTGTCTGAGACGTCCTCTTCGGGACCCAACCCTCACTCTCCTCCTTTTTTACAATCCTTTCAGATATCTTCTTTCTCCTTCCTCCTGCCCCATCTGAATCATTTGTACTTTCTCTGTTGTCCTTTTTGCTTCAGTGGGATTCTCTGCATTCAGCATGCAGCCGTTACTCCTTGTATTGTGATCATTGGTGGTCTTTCTCCTCATGCAAGACTGTGTGCTCCTTGGGGGCAGGGACTGGGCCTTTCATATAATCGATCCTCAATTAGAATCAGATAAATGAATGGATACCAGATGGTGAACATGCCTGTTTGAATAGTTAAGTTCTTTAGAGACTATATTTCCCATTCATGATATTTTGCAAAATCGCAGGCCTTCTTGAAAACTGGAATATAGGTTAATGGAAATGTTACCTCATTTTGGTACTCTCTTTGCTATTAAGTAAAGCAAGTTTAGATTACTTCTAAAAACAGAAACTAAGGTTACTTAGGAGGTTCTGCATAAAAGCAGCATTTTTATGAGATGCTTATCAAATACAGGTGGTCTCAGGTAGGTTTCATGATAACAAGTGATGTCTTTTGGTGAGTAACCAATCATATCTTGCTGTATCAAAAAAAAAAATTAAAGGAAGGGAGGGAGGGAGGGAAGGTGGGGAAGAAATAGCCCAAATCGTCATTTTGTTAAGGAGAAATACCAGCACAAAATTTGGGGGCTAATCATGGATCTTATATTTGGGGCATATTCACTTTTTACAGCTTTTTTCTAAATGACGTATTTTTAAAGAAAGTCAACACTCGAAAATCATAGATGAGCTAACGATAGAACTCAAGTAGTGACTATTACATTATTTCTCATGTGAAACACTAGGGTACCAAGCTAAATTGATTTATAAAATTTTAGATCTAATTCTCTACTTGATAAGAAAGGGTTATTAGAACTAGCATAGACAAAATAAAATTTTTAGGTAGATATTTTCATGCATTATTATAAATCAGTGTAAATAGGATACAATTCAGCAATGAACTTTAGTGATAGAAAGTAAAGGAGATCCTTGTGTGTAAAATGGGACTAGTGTGCAAGTGCCCAGCTCTGGACCGATAACTAATTCCAACTGATAACCAGTCCCTAAACCACCTAGAGGAGCCAGCACAATTGGGACGTGAGCTCCAGGAAGGTAAGGAAAAGGTGTGCGATGTAGAGACAGGCGGACATTAGTAGCTCCCTAATTAATAGTTGAGCACAGACTGGAGCAAGTCACTTAACTTTGCTGGCCTCAGTTTCCTAGTCTGTAGACTGGATGTGATGATAACACCTACGTAACAAAGTCATCAAATACAGTAATAAATGTGGAGCTGCTTTCTGATCTCTTAATCATAGAAACTCTTAAGGATCTGGGGGAGCTCATCTGTTTACTTTACAATTTAAAACATGGGAAAGGAGCTCTAGTTAACATAAAATATAAATTCACATAGAACTGAGATTAGAAATAAAACAAAATTAAAAGCCCAAATGAGAAAAGGAACACAAAACTGGACTTGACTTTCTCAAAGTTTGATA